ATTATATTATTACCAAAAAATATACATATTAAATACACTAAATATATTCAATTACACAATGAATTTTATTTAAGTTATATTCACTTTAAGTAGGTTACTATATTGATTATTATAATGTGTTTCTATAATTCCCGAGTTATAACAATGTGATAATAATTAGATACTTCTTTATATCATTGAATTAAAATAGTGTTCATAGTAATAGATCGATTTCCAAAAATGCAATAACTTTTGTCTTATAACATAAACTTGTGTAAAACCAAATGTCCTTTTAATTCATAAGTGTGTCCAATATTTCGTTGTTATGCCAACACATAATTGGTAAAACATAGTTTTTTTGTGGTATCGCAGTATCGCCACCAGGGGGGTGAACGGTTTGCACAATACTTTTAGTGAAATACTAAAGTCTATAGATATACATTATATTATAATAGTTTTTTGTACATGCAGTGTATTTTTCATAATTTGTAATTTTAATTCGAGAATTATGTCTTAATACATTGTAGTTACCTGAAAGTATGAATGAACCGAAGTAGACTATTTAGGTATGATATCGATGTGGATAGGATATGTTTTGTTTGACTATTAATGAAGGACTCGTTAGTCAGACGCATCTAATAAATGGCCAACCGGATGATTATGACTATAATTGCATTGTTATACTATTGTCTATTATTATTTATCTTATAAAACTAATTGTAATGAAAAATAAAATTAATAAACTAACAATGTAAATACTAACCGATACGATTTTAGAAAATTATTATGAAACTTTAAAACCGTTTTTTCATTAATTCAATTCTAATTTTAGAAGTTTTAACAGGTATCTAATGTCAATGAGTAATGAATAATATCGATTAAGGTTTTAAAATATATTTTTATATTTTTTAATTTTGTTCAATAACTGTTAAAGCATTTGAAACCATAAAAGAGAACACCTCGAATGTATTTTTATATACGTGTATAAATGCCAAAGTTCATTAGTATTGTTGGAACGAGTACAATGTTCTTTTTTAAAATAATCGTAACATTGAACACCTATTCAAGTCGACATGTCTGAGTTGATGCATGTTATATAATATTTTTATCTTTTGTATAATATGTCCTGTCGACTTGACATTTAGTTTACGAAGATTGTTTTTTATTTATTTAACTATTAGAAAAAATTGAACTATAGCTAATTTATTAATAATTATTAATTATCTATTTAATGTCTTCTGTCCCGTATAGTTCTATACCATACGACCATACGATGTAACTTGCCGAAAATACACATTAAACCACTATGCTTGTTTTAAAGGTTCAGTGCAATTGTAGAAACTACAAAGCATAAAAAGGGTAACTACTCTGCTGTACAGTAGGAGTCGAGTGTACATTGTCATTGAGTAGATCAATATATTAAATTTGAATTCAATGATAAATCATTGCATATTATGAAAAACTTTATCTGAGCTGAGACAGTCTGTCAGCCTATTATCGTATACAATTTATATTCCTCTTAATTTATTATAGTAATTTATTTTACTATTAGTAGGTCGTGCAGTACGATATAACCAATAAATACTTAATAATATAAAATTTATCAAAATATTTTGAAAATGTTATCGTATACAAAATATGATATTATTCCTAAAAGTCGTATATCCTTACACTTATAAATTATATTCGATTAATCAGTTTAACTTGAGACAAATTTTTTGCTCATCCACTACGTGTTGGAACATCAGAAAAAAAATGTTTTTGCATCGAAATCCCAGCCCTAATGATAATGTATCATATATTCACATAATTGCATAGTGCTTATATTTGGATTTTTCTACAGATTTTATCCCCAATGTTTTTTCTTTGTGTGTATTATAATATTTATAATATTCAAAATACATTTCTTGTTAATTGTTGTTCAAAGCTTGTTCAATTTTCAAAATCCAATACATTTTCACGATTTGTTAATAATAATGATAAATTAAACATAATATTGTAGTGCTTGACATTAATAACGATTAACGAGTAATGACATTTAAAAAATATATAAATATATAATATCCATATTGTAACTCTTAGGTTTTCAAGTTTTCAGCTAAAGATTTTTTTTCTCCATGGTGATAAAAATGTTTGATACAAATATGTGTTAATAATTCAAAGCGGTATAGAATCTACACAACGTAGTTAACGTTCCACCATTAATCTTTTGATATTGTTGTTCTACTAATAATATATGATGATTATGCTATCTCAAATATTAGCTATTAATATTTGCATATGTAGTTGAACAATTAATGGTATTATACTATTATGTATAAGATGTTTTAATTTAAAAATAAACAAAAAATTTTTATTGTTAGTATTATCATTATTTTAGTACTGCCATGTACGCTGCAACGTAATAATAACGTCGTTTATTTAATTTATATAAAAATATTATATTGACGAGTACAAAAATACAAAAATTTGAATTTGAATTATCTTAACGTTTCCATAAAATATGTTTTGTCTGTATTTAGGTATAGTTATTATTAATAGTTGAAAATTGAAAAATAATAACGGTTTGTTAGCTCATTTGATAAGAAATGGGTTTAAAATAAGAGAAAATTTGATATTTTGTACAAAAAAACGCGGAAAAACTTATATTTTACTTTAAGTAGGTATATAACAATCGTCCATACATAAAAAACAACTTTTCCTTCTCAGCTTTAATGGTGTACAGAATACAGAATACTGTCATAATAATGACGTTATCGTCTTTAGCGAATGGTGAATATACATTATACATACATATTTACCACCACCCGTCGGCTGTCATATTTAAATATGATGCAGTCTTACAATATGTTTATTTATAACCTGAAATTATTTACGCACAAGTATACGTAAAGAAATTATTTCTAAGGCCATGCTAGGTTTCAATATTTTATTATAGACTTATTTCATCAGATACCCGTGTCCCGTATTTAAATAGCAATTTTTCCTCTTTTTTCAACACAACATCAACGATTCTTGCTTTATTTTATTTTATCATGTTTATTAATAATTTTGTATTTATAGTAAGTCCAGTTTAATATAACCTTTTCACTTTTCAGACTGTGATTTAAGTAGGTATGTGGAAAAGAAATTGTATAGTTTTTTTTTTTATTGAACTTAAACCCGGCGACTAAGGCCATTAGCTGTTGTAGGGGTTATGAATTGTGGTAGGGGTAAGGTTGGTACTGTAGGTTGGTTTTTTTTTACAATTGTTACGGTTATTACGGTTATTACAGCAGGTAGCAAACATGTGTAGGTAGGTGTGGCAATGTGCTGAACTAATATGAACCCAGGTGGTCACCCATCCGGGAGCTAGTAGTTGTGGCCGTTACTTACTCCCAGTCGCATTCCGCGACTGGTAACTGCCTACGTGCCTCACCGAGCCACAAAAAAATTGAATAGTTTATAGTATATTATATGTAATATAATGTTCATGTAAACTTAAAAATAAAGATTAAAGCGAGCCGAGTGAGGTTAAAAGGCCCTGTGAGCGATAAATCATGTGAATATATCTGTAATAGAGTATTTTGCAAGCCTTCGCCACCAACCACTATAATACTTCGGCGGAAAAACTTGAGCACTGTAACAATAATATGTTATACATGAATGTATTCTTTTTAAATGGTTTACGACATTGAAATGCGGGATCATCATCATAAGAGCGTTATAATATTATTAGTTATTAGTGACTTATTACATTTTACGTCGGAAGATAAATACCCTGTCGGCTGCAGTACACACGAGTACCCGACGCATAATATAAATTATAATAGTATAATAGTATTATTTATTATAATACTATAATAACAGTCGCCCTTATTGTATGATGTATACGCATTAATACGATGATTCGTGTTTGTTTGGGCTTCATCCGTCGAGAAAAAAAGTACATTACGCTTATTATACGAGTTTCCTTATTGTTAATGCAATAAACTAATAACGTATATAATAATACACCATAAATCACAATGCCTGTCGGGGCCATCTGTTCTTCTTCGCGACGTGCAACGCGAGGAAAATGTTATTGTACGCGCCGCGTCTATTGCTGGAGAATCCCCGGAAGTGTCCGACGTTACTCGGAGCCGTGTATTTATCATATTATTATATGTACAGACGACGTAAATAAATAAGATAACGCCACGGCCATATGCCACCAGTGTACAATATGGACTGGAGGATAATATTGAGGGATCCCGAGGCTCGAACACGCGAAGAAAGCGGTAGCAGCGCGTTTTGTTCGTATTATACGTATTTTTTCCCTCCGATCGCCCTTGTATAACCGTATAATTTATTTTATTAGCCATGACTACCGTACAATATTATGTCTACAAACCGTGCTCCGGGTCATGGAACTGCACTATTATAATATAGTTTCTCCTGGTGTCTTGGCCGTATTGTTTAATTGTTCGTCGCATCCTTTTAGAATTAGTGCCCACCCACAATATATTCATACAATGAAATACCATCTCGAAATAATTTATACTATATACGTTCGTCTCGCTTTTGTGGACGTAGGGCATATACATACTACATACCAATATCAGCTACAATATTATGGGTAATGATTATTTAATTACACTATCCTAACCTACATCGCTAGCCATGTAATTGATTACTAATGACGACTGTACGAGTAGACGTATATCATTCCATCAAATCAATATCATCAATAGATCACGAATCATGATGTACATTCCTCCCTTTTGAGTGACCAATATTTTGAATATTTTGTTAATTTGTACTTAAAACACGATGTAATAACTGTACAAAATATGCATAAGTTTAGACTTTTTAAACAATATTAAATTGTATTGTGTGTAATATTATTTATAATAGATCGCGTAGTTGTGTGTATAACACATAATTCTAGTTTTTTGAAATAGTCGATCAAATCACAATGTACATTGTCTATTATTTAATCAAATAATTTCGGATGAATAATATTATAATTTATTACCTCTTAATTATATATTATTTTCTAGGTATTCTAGTCGATATTCAACGCCAATTTAGAATCGGAGACGACAAAGGTGGCCTACTGCAAACCGCATTCGTCATAAGTTACATGATATGCGCTCCAGTCTTTGGCTATCTGGGAGATAGATACAATAGAAAATACATAATGGCTTTCGGCGTATTTCTGTGGTCATTAACTACATTCGTCGGTTCTTATATGAACGTAAGTCTTATTAGATTAAAGTTTGTTTTTTTCTTTCAAATTATTTTTACAGCAAAATTTGTTCACAGGAATATTATTTATTTTTGTTCTTCCGGAGTTTGGTTGGTGTCGGTGAAGCTAGTTATTCGACTATTGCGCCTACAATTATAAGTGATATGTTCGTAAAGGACGTGAGGTCGAAAATGTTGGCTCTATTTTATTTCGCCATACCCGTGGGAAGGTATAATATCTGACCTCACAGTGTTTTAATTCCGGTCGAATATAACTCATTATTTCATGATTTTTATTTAGTGGTTTAGGCTATATCGTCGGCTCGGAAACCGCTAGGATTCTCGGTTCTTGGCACTGGGGATTGCGTGTCACGCCGCTGCTCGGCATGTTGGCTGTCCTCCTGATAATGTTCGTTATGGAAGAACCCGAACGAGGTCAGAGCGAAGGGTATTCTCACTTGACCACAACGTCTTGGTCTGAGGACATACAATTATTGTGTCGGAAGTAGGTGTTTCTATCTACGCTCGATTATATTTATTTTTGTGTACCCTACCTACATCACTTGATCGTTTTAACAGTCGGAGTTTTATGTTGTCCACTGCCGGATTCACTTGCGTGGCTTTTGTCACGGGTTCTTTGGCCTGGTGGGGTCCCCAAATTATGTGGTCTGGACTTAAAATGCAAGAAGGTTACGAGGACGTGACGATAAACAGGTAGAATTTTTAGGGAGATAGAATATAATATGATAATCTTTTTATTTACGTATAATATTACGGGTGTGCTTTATCTACATTTTTTTGTCTTTATATTTCTAGCGTATCGCTGAACTTTGGAATAATAGCTATGGCGGCCGGTCTTATCGGTGTGCCTTTAGGTTCATACATGGCTCAACGGCTGAAAGTGCACTATCCCAAAGCAGACCCGTTGATCTGCGCTGGCGGTCTTCTGATATCGGCTCCACTGCTGTTTCTGGGACTAGCGCTTGCAGACAAGTACAATTATCTTGTGCTGGCTCTGATATTCTTTGGTCAAGTTTCACTGAATCTTAATTGGTCGATCGTAGCCGATATACTATTAGTAAGTGTTTTGAAATCACCTAACGAAATTATGGCTAGGTACAGGTGTATATACATAAGGGTCAAATAAGGTGAAGCGAAAGATCAACAGTTCGCCCCTGTTAGTCGGTGTATGTAAAAAACCTGTAAAAGTGTATATTATACCTACAATGTTCGAGCTAGAACGAACACGTATTACTACAAACTATTGTGCTAAAAGGTTATAGACTTATAGTGGTTATACAGTAGTCTTATGGCCAAAGTAGCAAGTCAAAACTTAACTTATTATTTCTTATTCGTTTTCAGTTGTTATCGTCATATACGCATTAGCGTAAATAAGTGTGTCAACATTTAAAATTTAAATTTAAAAAGTACAGCTTATTTATTCATTTACATAGACACTGAAAATAGTTAATTATACCAAATGATATATTTAAGGCATGTCTGTACACTCATTATTTCGTAAAGTTAACTTTTTGAAAATATTCTTATTTGATGTAATTTTAGGACGGTTTGAAATAAAATTATGTCCTACTATTTTTTTTTGTTATAATTGTTTTTTTTTTAGGTGTTTTATCTTTTTGAAAGACACCATACATTTTTAAATCCACGGTCCTAAGCACAAAAGTTTATTTTTAACATTTTTTGGGAGGGTAGAATCTAACAATTTTTTTAATTCTAACATTTTATAGGTATTGATATTGAAAAATAGTTTTTAACTATCGATATAGATTAAATGAATAGAAAATTGTTATTAATAGATTTTAAAAATTGCATGGCTGGTTTTAAAAATTAGTTTCGGCTCAATGTATATAGTTATCTTTTTTTTAAAAATTTAAATACGCCACTACCTTAGCAGCAAATTCTTCGTGGTATTTCAATCTATTAATACTAAATTTTGAACTAGTAGTTTATGAGTTATAACACTCAAAACTTTAAATGCTAATGCTAATAGATCTCCCTATATACATATCTATACATACAATAAATACACACATATATGCGTATATTACACTAACAGTAGTAACTCGATAACTCGTAAGTTGGAAGCCCAAATAGACAACAATCCAAACGAATGTAAAATGATTGAAAACCAATAATGTGTTGAATTTATTTATAATCTACATGCGTACTGAATATTTTTGAGCTCAAACTCATGATTTAATAACAATTTTTTAATTTTTAATTTTAGTATGTCGTCAGTCCTACTAGACGATCAACTGCTGAAGCATTTCAAATTTTGTTTTCACATGCATTTGGAGATGCTGGTAGCCCATATCTCATTGGAGTGGTAAAATTTATGAATCATTTTTGCTTACCTAAACTACATAGGTGCAATTTAGGAGTCACTGCAATAACAAGCAACAACTACATTTATGTGGTACTGTCTTGTTATTGCACTGACACTTTTAAATTTAATGGGGGCTAGAAGGACAGAAATAATAAGTCTCTTAAGAAATTGTTGACCAACATACCCATGAACATTTTTAGTTGTATATATATTTATTATTACTTAGAAGGATGCTTCACAGATATTTGTTGTCTCCGTCTTACAAGTGCGTAACATCGCAAATTTACGCTCAGCAGATAACATTAAGCTCCGTTAGTCTAAAAATTACAGTGAATCAACCTTTCATGAAACTTGATGATAAGAACATTGCCTGTGTTCGTATGGGAGAGGGGGGAGTTGGCGATAGTTAAATTTAAAATGTTCATAACTCACTTAAAAACTGAATCATCGTAAAAAAACCCACATACAAGATACACGAATAATGTTCCTACCGTCAAGTTTCATAATAGGTCGATTCACTCTAATTTTTAAACTAACAGAGCTGAACGTGATCTGCTAACCGTAAATTTGGTATGCTACTCACTTGTATGATGGAGAAAACAAATACCTGTGTAGCTTCCTCTTAAAGAATCCTTCGAAGAATCCCAAGTGTCGTAAGCCCCCAAAAAATTGCTTAACTTGCTGCTTCTATGATAAGCCATCTAGTGTTTAATAAATTACGTTTGATTGTCAGATTTCAGAAATTTTAAAAAAACTCTTTGCAAAAGGGAGCTTACCAGTACTTATGGCTTCTATGACATTAGCCAGTAATAATTTACAAACCTCCATTGGTGACAAACAAGATAACATTAACAACTTCCACAGTCTTCAATATGCATTGTTCATTACAAGTTTTATTGAAGTATTAGGTGCAATGTTTTTCTTCTTTACTGCTTCCTATATTGTCAAGGACAAGGAATTAGCAGAAACAGAGACTCCAGGTTGGCCAAGCTACACTCCTATTGTAAATTAGTATATATATGTATTTTAAGTCTCAATTATTTATAAGTAAAAATGGCTAATTCGGCCTAATCACTAGTCTAAAAACATACATGACACAATTATTTTTTAACATTTTTACAATGGCTACAATTATTGTGTTCTTATAATTTATTTATTTTTAATTGAATTTTTATGGACGTTGGTTAATTTTGTGCATTATTATAATTTTATTTTTTTTTGGTTTGCATTAATGCTTGCTCACACATTTTTCCTATTCTTCTTGTGTTTTCTTTCTATACAACTCAACATCATGAGCTTGATAATTTATATTTGTATGTATACTCTCATTTAATACAATACAATAATATGTGGCTTTGGCATTTATGTTTTTGTAATATATAATGTGTTATTGTGATATATTTTGATACTGTGTTCTAATAATTTTAATTATTAATACATTTTTTTATCGTCCAATAAAAACTAGGTAATATCAAACGGACTTGAACAATTTTTATAAATGAAATAGCAAATAGGAACATCTTGAACTTTTTGTTCATTTGACTGAATATAATATTTAATAACTGTGACTCAGTTTTCTAATAATAAAGTACAAATTTAAGTACAAATAAAATTGGCCTTTATCATTGATCCAATATATCAGAATACTCTCATTTTCTGTTGTATGAAATAAAACTTTAAAATATTATGTTTCATATTTTCATATTTTTTTTTTTTAATAATCCCTGCATTACACATATAATATATTAATAATATGTGACTCATGTAGGTTGCTACAATATATTGATTTTTTTACTGGTCAGTTGTTTCTTGAAATTAGTTTTTGGATACAAGTATTACATATTAATATTAAAGAAAAGTGGTGATCAATTATAATTTATTGCGTTACCAACAATTTATGTTGATCAGTGGTTAGTTGAATCTAAGTTTTATAAGGCATCAGCCTCGTTTAACCCTTTAAACTTTAAGTATAACTACACTGGGGACATATTATCATAGTTCATAAGATGATTGTATCTCTTTACTCTTGTTACCCACTTTGGTATACTTAAATTAATGTGGGAGTTATTTTATTTTTTAAATTTTGTTTTTGATCAATATATAAAATAATGCATTTGAGAACTTATACATCACCCTTTAGAACTCAGCCGCGAATCCTCAAACAAAAGTCTGGAATCTAATAATTATTTTTGCTTGTAAGTGACTTTATTAAGTTGGGTCACTTAGTCTTTATTTATCTTTCAGTAATGTGATTTAATCATATTATATTTTGTTATTAATTATCTTTCTTTGATTTTAAAAATGTATTTCTCCGGGTAAAAGTTTGGTTATTCTGTCAAATACTCAACATGTTTTATTCATAAATGTTGTGAAATCATAAGTGTTTTTAAAATTTTAAATCCAACAGATTTTTTAGTCGTGAAAATGGCGGTATCTTCAAATTAAAAATAAAAACTAATACTATAAATAAAATATATGCATGGTGAATTCTCGTACGCGATTCAATACTGAGTAATAGTTTACGATAGAAATGTAGCATGAAGAATAAATACAAGTGTGATGTGGTGTTATGTACATCGAAATGGTTTTTTGTATTTTTACTGTGTTATTGGTTTGTAAACCACATGACTCTTTTTACCGGACCTTTGAATGGATACCCCCGCCACCAACCACAACTTTTCAATCTAGGTATATGTGTTACGAACCGTACACCCCAAGTCATGCGGTTCTGTTGTTTTTTACGATTTCTATACATAGTGTTGCGGTTAAAGGGTTAATGAAGAGTTAGCCGCCTCTTGATATTTTAAGAACAGTGGGTGGGTAATAATTTAGTATTTACTACTAAGAGGTAGAAAATATAACAGTACCTAAATGTCTTTATCGGATTTTGGATAGGTGAATAGAATATTGGAATATTAGGTACCTACTTGCCTTTGAAAATTTCAAGTTAGGCTAGCCACTGACTGTAACTACTATTCTACTGCCAACTGTAAGCAATTTAATAACTGTTAAACTGTTCAATGGACATAGACATTTACATTTTTTATGTCTTAGATAGTGGATATCACGTAATTTTAATTCTTACTTACTTGCCAATCTATTGCACTTATGTGGACCCAGAAGCACACGTTAAATACGTATTTAACCATATCTATGCATGAAACATATACCTGTTTTAAATAATTAAATCTAATCGAAGGATTAAAATACATAGTGTTATTAATAACTACGACGTATTAAAACGGCAAATTATTAACATATTGTTTTAGTTGTATCTATATAGAATAATTATCGTCTTCATTATCGTAAACACGTCATCGTGCCAAGTATATCTACAATCTTGTACATACAAGTAAACACTAAATGGTAATTTAATATTATAAAATCCAACACTAACGATATTGGTGATTGCTAATTTGTGCGGTATGGATGATGTGGTTTTACATGTAATTTTATAATATTGTCTAATATCTTCGCTTAACTATACTGGTTGTTTATACAATACGCTTTGTTGGGTTTTCACTGTTTTCGGCACACAATTTTTTTTCTTACGACATCATTGTCATTTTGTTTCTTTTAAACAACATGAATTAATTTCAGCAGATAATGGACCAGTTACTGTTCAAAACAGGTATCCCGTGGACGAAACACGTTTGCACGGTCATTCCAATCCCCGTTTTGTAGCCTAAAACCAATGAAAAAATAAAAAGAATGACAATAAATTTCATTTTGTGTAAATTTCATTTGCGAAATGCTTGAGTTGTTGTTACGTTACAATATTGCAATTTTATGTCTCACTGTATTACACTGTCGTTTGTTAACTGAAAAACGCATTCGTCTTACATACATACCTAATAATAATGTAAATGTTCACATTAAATCTATCTGTGATACTTTGAATATCGTAAACTAACTCAAAATCATAATAATTATTTAATACAACTGTTAATTATGTATAGAAAGTAACATGATTGTACCCACTATTATAAAATGTTAATCTGAAAAAAACTGCCCTTGTTAATCTGTTATAATAGTAAAGCTGTTGATGTTTTTTTGTATTTATTGCCATAATTTTGTATTTGCACACTGGTAAATTTATCTGAGTATTAATATTTATTATGTATCTAATTTATTTTGTGAAATAGTCGTAAGAATTTTTTTTGTAAGTTTGTACAGAAATTATGTTTTTTTTTATATGAATATTAAACAAATAAAATGTTTGTGGAACATGGACTTAATACATTATAGTAGGTAATTATAACATCTTGTAGAATTAAACTACAAAATTGGATTGAATAATGAACAAAATGTCTTTGTATAAATATCAACGAACTGGGATGGTTATATTTAATCAATAAATTAGGTACCTATATATACATAATACATGTATATAATATAGGTAATATAAATAAAGGTCATAAAAAAAGTGATTCTTTGTTTATGATAATTCAATTGAATCATTACAATTTCAATTTTTCATTAAATCATATATTTATGAACAACTGGTTCTAACTATTTGAATTTTGAAAAACTCATAGTATTGTAATGTATCTACCCGAGTAAGAGTATTCAAATACACATTTTAAATACTTCTGAAAAAGTATTTCAACAGTGTATTTTAAATATTTTCTTAAAGTATCCATACTTTCAAATAAAATAAAAATAGAAATTGAGAATACTTACTTATAATAATATTTTTTTTTAATGTGAATAACACATCAAACACTTCAACAACAAAAAACAGTTTGACACTTAAGTTCCACCAAATTATACGGCATAAAAGGGTACAATGTATGATCTATAAAATGAAAGTATTTATAATATAATATATAATATATAATAGTTATAAAATTTTGTACTATGAAAAAAAAACAGGAAGTAAAAATACATAATAATAACAATCAAATAGAAGTATCCATTGTTATCATCTCTTTAATTATTTATTATTTTTAAGTATGAAAACGGTGGTCAAGAGCTAGCGTGTATTGCACAGCTATATACAGCCAATTAGCTACAAGGTACCATTGGTTAAATATACCTACAAGCTACAATATAATGTAGAATGTTAATTTTAAAATATCCAGTAATGCTCTACCGCATTTATGTAGAAACCAAGTTATAAAATGGTATCAGTAATATGACAGTTAATAAGTCATAAAGAAAAGTTTACCGATCAAATTCATGTAAACAAAAAAGGTATACAAAGCTATATCAGAAAAAAATGAAGAACTCTTCATTCCTTAGTAAATATTAATTTATTTCATTACTCTTAGACCTCTATAATTTAGCAATATGTGTGTCCAACACCCAACAGGCGCATCAAGCATCATTATTCAGTTTTATTTAATGATACCGCAGTGAAGAATAGTCAAATCCTCAATGATACCTCAATATTTTGAAAATTTCATCACGTATATGAATTAATGAAATAAACACATTTGGTGTAAATTTCAAATATCTACAATAATTCTTTTTTTTATTTATAACAAAACAAGAGAAATCGAATACCCATTGTTGTAAAAATTTGAACTTCAAATACTCATAAAAACAATTGATTTACGCTCAACTTTTTTTTTAAATTTCCATCAACAACAACTTACAAGGAACATTGTATTACATTTTCAAGTTTTTTGACCGAGCGAAAATTATCGATAAAAAAAAAAAATAATAATAATCGAAAATTTCTTATGCCTTTAAATAGTTCAACACAAATCAAAATATTTAGTGAAAATGTCATGTATCTACAGTTATTTTTGTTCGAGTTACACTAAAAACCAAAATCAATTTTGTGTTAAATGGTTTTGTGTAAAATTTCCTGTTTTATCTTAATTTTTTGTTTGTTTTTTCTGTTACTTTTGAAAACTATTTAGAATTTAGAATTTTGACTTCCTGAATATATCAACTAGATTTACTTTTCTACCAGAAAAGTTGATGTTAAAGAAAATCGAAGGACTTTTCTACAAGAAACTGCGATGACAGATACAAAAAATAAATAAATAAATACACATCGTTTAAAATCAATACATTCATCGCTTCGCTCAGAACCCAAAATAAATTTTTTATGTATTGTAAAATGTATGTTTTACGAATTAAAAAAAGTATGATATGAAAGAACTTGATAAGGAACAAATAAAAAAACAAAATTAGTAATAGTTGTATTTATAGGTTATACAAAAATACATCAAATTATTTTTTAATATATTCCATAATTTAACTTAAATGTACTTCAAAATGATTCTAAATTTTGTTTTTAATTTAGTCGTTTAATGAACACTCAAAATAAATAACTCTTAACAAATTTAATTCTATGTATTTGTGTAAGTAGAGACAGACAATTAATTTTTACCAAAAATATATAATCTGTTCAGTTATTAATCTACATTAAAATTATAATTAGTTAACATGATACCAAAAAAAAACTTTCAAGTAAAATTTATTTCAGCAAATCAAACTTTTTAAGAGATAAAATTAATTAAATTGAGGATAAAATTGTTTTTTGAAAAACTATACATATTCATGCTTAAAAAATTGTTTCTTTTATAATCGTTGGTTACCGAAACTGATTTATTGACAACACATAAGTGACATTAAACATAATATGATACAATTTTTACATAGTATCATGAATTCCTAAACGAAAGATGTCATGGGCACAATAGAAAGTACTACCTACTGATTTTAATACAAACACTTGATTGAATGGATGAGGTGGATCTTCGTCACACTGAAATATAAATTATTAATTTAATATAAGTTATTATTATAATAAATAAATAATTTTTACCTGTAAACGACCTAAGACGTTGATTAATATACCACCATCAAACATTGGCTGTGAGTCCACAGATGTTACAACTCTATTGATTTTTTGGAAAGTTAAACTCTAAAAAAAAAAAAATGACTATAACAAAATTATATACATACTTAGAAATATTATTTTTTCTCTAAATATTATATTGACCTAAGAACAAACTTATCAGCTAGAATAAAATGATAAATAATTCATGTTTTGTGCACCTGACTAATTGATAAATTGAGGCCAAAATAAATCTAGAGTGCAACAGTGTAAATCTTTTTATGAAATTCCAACAATTTATTATCAATCAGCATTAATTGAAGAACATAATGATAAATTATAAGGTTGATATTTAACCTTCATCAAATGTATATATTAAAATAGGTAATTAAATTATATTTAACTATTATTGATTTCAATATTTAGCACTGATGAAATAAATTTATCTTTATTCCAAACAATTTATGTTACACTTAAAAATGTTTGGTATCTGTCTCGATATCTCTTAGGTTGAGGTGCTTTGCAGCTATAACCGTGTACGTCATGTTAGCTCTGATAACTATATTCCAATGGAGGGACATGGAGGTTCACTACCGCTGTTGTCACTATTTGCCACGATTGATATAGGCGAACCAGACGGATGTACAGCCGCGTGTTGTCTATGAATCACAAGTAATACAATGGTCAGTTCCAGCTCCTATTAATCCTATCCACCTCCAAAAATAAGCGGTCTCCTTACGATCATTTGGCTTGTAACATCATTAGTCCTCCCCCTATCTGATTACTAGGGTTTGGAACTTCTTGCATTTGCATATTTTTTTGTAGTGGTCATAGTCTAATCTAAGTGAGTTATAAATGTGTTTTATAAAATGACCAAATTAAATACTGAGTTTGAATTTGCATATTTTTGCATATTTCGTCATATTTTAAGAAAAGCGAAATTGAGCAATTTTAACATATTTTACATTTTTATAGACGTAAAATTGTCGGGAAAAATCATAATTGGATGGTCGTAGTCTATCTAACATGTACGTCTGTTTACGACGATAGTCTCTTTATTGCTTAATAATCAACCTTTTTATCGACAATATAGACAATGGTATAGTTGTGGTAAAACCTAATGAACCCTAGGTTGATACAGATGGAGATGAGTAACCCGTGTAAAAATTATTTTTATTATATTAAGTACCTACCTAATTTTTAAATTTTTATTTTTATAATAACGCCTAGGGTTGTGTTTTTGTAAAGGAACCCAAACTCAGGTTCCAAGATTATAAAAAATTGACCAAATCCTTAATAAGTACCTGACTGGTTAACATTTGAAATTAAATGTGTACCTCAATTATTACTTTAAATTTATTCTGTTTGAAGTTCTAACACAATAACTGTACCTGTTTATTTTCAACTATGGAAATGATAACTGCTTTACAAAAACAAACTGACACATTTTAATAACATCACTTAAAATATGCTCTATGAGCCATTGGTGCATCAGGTCAACACTGGTATTATTCACTATGTTGCAAGTATGACAGGAAGAAATAAGGAATGTCAAAGTAATATTTTCCTAAAAATTAGAGCTTCACCATCAAGTTTCATATAAATCCAATGAATCATATTATTCACAGCAGCATGGTTATTAATTATCCATTCATAAATAACAATGATGTATAAAACACTTCATTACTTTACCCATTTTAACATAAGTATGTTTTTGGACTGTGTATAAATATTTTGATTTTCTGACTCTAACCGATTTTGCCTAACATTTTTGTTGTCATGGTTACTTGTTAACAAAAATATATTTATGATTCATAGATTTTTCTTATTGAGGAAAAACATAGAGTAGCATGCTGTTTTATCTTATGTCTTTATATAAGTTTGAAATATTTTTTATATTCTGAACATTAGACTTACAAACAAATCTTGGTATGATTATGTCTGTTTTACTACGCAAATATAAATATCTTAGTACAAAAACTGGGTTGAGGAATTATTTGACAGTAATTAAATTATGTTATCAATAGTTTCATATGATCTTAAAACTTACAAATTTTTTTGATTTTACTCACATTTAATTTTTCCATTATTTTAACTGTACCCTGTAGTTGAACACCTTCAAAAGTCATAAAAGACGTTTCCGGCTGTAACAAAAACAAACATGTTCGAGGAGTGAATAATTTAACTTTGCACGCCGTGAGAACTGAGAATCAGTTTTATATTATAATAGTATTTGGTGATTAATAATAAATTAATAAATAA